CTTAAACAGAAATTAAGTAAGAACTACATAGATAAACATCTAGAAACTATATAACAGAGACTACGTTAAGGTAAGGGTAAGTGCAATGGTGTCCCAGTTGTGTCCCAGCTTCCTCTTTTCGTTTTCCGTTTCTGTTGCAGGCGCTCTAAAGACGTCAAAATATTTTTAGCTGGCGCCGGATATGCGAAAGCCTTTTGAATGATTTCTTTTTTCATTCCGTCCATTTTTTATATTTATTTGTTCTTTTTATTTCATTTTGTATTTTTGCTGTAGCCTGTTTTGGCCTTCTCGTGGACAAGAACATGACGAGAGCATTGCATAAGGCGGCGGGCCCAGGGGGGTCTACGATTGGTTTGTGTACCTCGTATTTTTAGCTAATCACGCGGATAAAGCCTCACACAAACTTTCTTGCGTATTTATGAGCCAAAATATTAAGAGCATATAAATAACATTTAGGAAATCTAAAAAAAGAAAGGCTAGACTAGCAGATGCCCTATAAATGGGAAACAAATTAAAACAGAAATGAGATCGGATTTCGGAAAAAGCTGAAACTTTTAGTTGCACAAACATATTCGAACGTATACACTCTGAATGCCTTAATAGCTGCAGGGTATTATAGTCGTAAAAATAATTTTACGTTTGGGAAAAGTATTTTTTGAAATATATTCTTAAATTTAATGTGCGGCAAAGTAAACAAGCGATACTTATGTACTAACCCAATTGGTTTATAATCCAAGCAACACTCGTAAAACTTGATGTGTGTGTGTGCGAGCGCATGTGCGCGTGTGTGTGTGAATATGTGTATGGATTAAGTGAATGAGTAGTATTATTAGAATGCTCATTAGGAATGCTTGGGCTTAGCTGGGATTTGCGCAGGAATGTATTTAAAATAAATAGATCAAAAAACGTATTTCAAAATAAAACGAAAATTTCATGGGAGAAAGTTTGGGAAACTATCGAGAGAGAGAGAGAGAGAGAGGGAGAGTGGAGGGGAGAGCATTTTCGATAAGCTTCTCTTTAAATGAAGATTTCTTGCTGCAAATATCCATTACGAGCTGCTGCCGCTCATCCTTTGTGGAACGTGAGTGGATAACCCAATGACAGCTGGCAGCAATGCTGGTCAGCTCCAAGAAGGTGTGTGTGGGGCGGGGCAGATTTGCTGCAATTGAAGCTTGCGGCTGGTCGATGACAACTCCATTTGGGGGCTGCGGATGGAGGTCCGTGTTGGCCATAAGTCACCCTTCAGTGGTAGCTGGAGCTAGACAGGGAGCCAGAAATGAAAGTTGGGCAGAGTTAAGCGTTGACAGCTCGCACAAACAGGAAGAGGAGGCATGCGACATGCGGCATGCGGCATGCGGCATACGGCATAGGGCATGCGGCATGTGGCATGTAGCTAAGCTGGGAACGTGCGTTGCGTTAAGTGAAAATACAAGAAAATTGAGGCACGCGACGAATTACAGCTGAAAATGTGAATGGGAACTTTGGAGCTGGGAATTAGGCGCCTCACTGAGTGGCCACTGGGTATGTGACCTGATGACATATGAGTGTGTGTGCGCGAGTGTGTGTATTTGTCAAATGTGAGCAACTGTACGCTGACAAGATTTATGTGGCAGCGGCAGCTGCAGCTGGCGACAGGAAGGAGCAGCAGGAGGAGGAGCCAGGCAGGGCTGGAGCTAGGCTAACACCAAGGACGGGCTATGACAATGGCAAATAAAAGATTTTTATTATCACATTATGCGGCAGCAGATTTCGCCCTTAGCCCAGACTAGTTTACGTATTCTCTCCCTTTGCCACGCCCACTGCTGGTGCGCCTTATTTTAGATTGGGGCCAAGTTGTTAAGTTGCTTTGGCTGGCCCAAAAAAGCAAATGGCGGGGCAGGTTGGCCAAATTCAATTTGCCAAATGAAATTTCTAGATACAGGTCCAAAAGCGTCGAAAGACCGAGCATTAAAGGCAGTTCTGGCTGTGCATGCACCGACTATATAGACACCCCATAAGAGATGAGAGCAGAGTATCTCTTGAAAATATTATACTCAGCCACATGCTCAGCACCTCAACAAGGTGTAAGAGAGCATTGGCAGTGACGTCAGCGGCCAAGTTAAGCTAACTCACACGCTTTCTCAATTTACAGGGTATATATATTCCTATACAAGAGTATTAACAGCGACGTCAGCAATGCAGACAGCGTCGTGTGTTCTTCTTGGCTGCGTCGTCCAACGTCTGCCGTCTATTTTGGTCGCCTGACTCGACGGGAATTACTAATTTGGATGTTATGCTCCCGGATTTGTTGCTGCATTACATGCTAATTATACAAAAATAGAACACGTGAGCCCGTCGTCAGGCCATCTTCGCGATGGGGAGGTGCTAAGGAGGTGGAGGGCGTCACTGGGACTCTCGCCCTTCTCCGAGGGGGTGTCAACTGTTGCATGTCGTCGCCTGCTTAGAATTGGGGAGCTGAAAAAGTTTTGCGCGCCTCGTGTCGCATCAGTCAACCACGCAGCTTCAAGATTGATGCGACGCCACCTGAAGACAACTCACGAGGAGCAGGGCGGCGTGCAAGAGAGCGGCAGTGGGTGCCCCAACTCACAGACAGGAAGAGAGCAACAGCTGCCGGAACGAAACTATTTGGGTCAAACTTGGAAGCAGGGAGATGCACAACTGAAATGTCCAACCGAGCGCGGTGTGAATCGCCATGGAGCATAGCTAATGCCCCAGACTGAGCGGGACACAGCAAGAGCGAGATAAAGAGAGACAGAGAGAAAGAGAGAGAGAAAGAGAGAGAGAGAGAGAGCTGTCAGAGAAATTAATAAAATTTTGCGAGCAATTGCAAAAAATTAGCCATGGCCGATGATTGTTGATGTTGCAATCATTAATAATGTAGCCCCGAGGGGTGGGGACTAGCTGCACGGGGGTAGCGACGGGCTGTGGGGCGTTGTCGACATGATTAATGTTTGGTTTGTGTGCGTGGCATATCTATAAGGCAAGGTAATCACGAGCAATGCGCGCGTCTGTTATTGTTGTGGGTTGAGAGACTCTAATTGCAAGTCGAACCGTACACAAATTATTTATGTATGCTTGGCTGATTGATAAAGATTGATTATCGATTGACATTGATCGCAGTCGCAGCCGAAACTATTCTTGCTTGGAGTCAAGAAGTTGAGGTCACAACTAAAGTGTGTGAAAATCTTAATTGTCATCGAGTAAAATGTTAACAAAACTCTATTCTATACTGATTGATAATGATTGCTTATGGATTGACATTGATGGCAAAGCTAAGATTTACGGGTCGAAAGCTTAGACTCTATTGTTAGCTACATCGTTGGGTTATAGATATATTGCAATCAGCTAAATGTTGAAAATTTCAATTGATTGATAGTGATTTATCTCGGAAACTGTAGTTTTTGCTGTTTTGCTTCTTGATTCGAAGGTAAACTTTAATGAAGACCGACAACGTCTTGAGAAGCATGCAAACTAAATTGTGAACCAACTTTATGATTGAAATATTACTTTGCATTTTGGATAACTGACAGGAAACTTAAATAAACTCAATTCCATGATTGAAAGTGATTGATTGACATTGCAGCTAGTAGAACAATCTTGAAATGAAACTAAATTCCCTGGTAGTGATTGACTCATATTCAATTAGGTTTCCGCTAGGTAAAACAATTACAATTTCGAGCAAAACAATTCTTAATTATAGAGGATTATTTCATCTCTTTTGATTGAACCAAAATGTGTTAATTAATTATGTGGCAAAGCATTTGAACCAAAATAGCAATGAATATTTTCGATTGCTGTCAAAATTGGAATTTATGAAAAATAAATGAGTTTTAACAATTCATATTAGGAGCATGTTTTAACTGTGCCAGCCCCTATATAGTCAGTAAAGACATCTGTATATATATATTTTAGTCAATTATGATTTCAACTTGAAGCCAAATGCATTTTCGTTCGTCAAATTGCATTTGTTGCATTTAAGAAGCTTTATATAAATTATTTTTTAGGCATTTTTGCTGTGGTAACTGTATAAGCCACCCGCCAATTCGCCGGTCCGCCGGTCCGCCGGTCCAACCGTCCACCTGTCAGCTGACAATCAAAAATGTCAGACGGGCAACCAGCTACAGGCCGAGCTGAGCTGCGAGTGGAGTGGATTGCATTGCAGCTGAAACTTAATCTAAAACTCAAACTTAGCAGACGTTGAGAGGCGACAGAGTGGGGCCAGAGTGGGGCATAAGTGGGGTCTAAGTGGTGCAGAGAGGGGAGTCGTCGCTGCTGCTGTGTAATCCGTCATTTGTTCGCATTCCATTCAAGGCTGCCTGGCCAGATCCGCCTCAGTGGGTCTCAGTCAGTCAAGCCACTGTGGCAGTCTGTCTCGCTCTAAACACGATCTCTCTAGCCCCCTCTCTCTCTCACTCTCTGTTGCACCTGGACGGCTGGCTGGCTGGCTGGTTGGCTTAGCGGCCATTTGGCAAATTGCAACTTTTCGATAAATTCGAATCATTTGTCATTGACACAAATAGCTTTCAAATTGCATACACAGCTAGGCACGAGACAGTCAGGGTGTGCGAGTGTGTGTGTGTGTGTGTGTGTGTGTGCATGTGTGTATATGTGCCGGGGAGCAAGTTGTGCAGCAACTGCTGCAATCGACGTTCTCAACGGAAATTCCCAAATACAGCCAAACAGACGAACAAACACAAAACAGAGCTCAGATACACAGCCAGAGATCTGAGCCCAGCTCTCGCTCGCTGCTTTAAATGCTCTATCTGATGTAGGATATACTCAATGCGGATACGAAGGAAGGTCTCTGCAAGGTGCAGAAACTAAATCAATTAATAACAGAATTACAAATTACAACTGAAATTGAAATCTGTATTTGTAGCATTCAAAATATATTCGAAAACAATAAAAAACTACAAAAATTATATAAAATTTATTGAAAATTTTTGTTAAAGAAATTACATTAACTAAATAAATAATATAGGGGAAGTACGCTAAACTAATATTAAAAATTATTTACAATTATTTCTTTCCATTTCTTAGGTCATTCCATAAAAATATGAACAATAATTTGAAGTTAGTTGCGATTTCTGGCCAATTATCGTTCCACGAGATAGAGCATTTACAGCGGCTTGAACGTTATGCTGATTTTTTTTTGATCAGTTTGTTGTTATCGCCGCTGGTAGGGCATGTCCCACGTTGCCATCGTGTTGGCGATTTCAAGCTGCGTCCCAGCGGCGAACAATCGCTTAACAACATTGCTGTTGCCATCTCGCTCGCTCGCGCTCACAATGACCCAGTTTCCAAGCGGAATGTAAACAAATTTGACCTGAAAAAGCGTTAGCTTGTTGTTGTTACTTTTGTTGTTGCTGTTGTTGCTGCTATTTTGTAAACAAAACGCAAAAGTGACTGAGACTGAGACGCCAGCAGAGACAGCAGCGACTCACTGAAGTGTGTTTGTGTGTGTATGTGTGTGAATGTGAGTCGCGTTTTCATTTTGGCCTTTGATGCCAGCAACAGCAGCAGCGACAAATTTTGCACTAACAAAGTCATTTTTGCCCAATGGGAAATAGTTGCGGTCTGCTCTTAGCGAGAAAGAGAGAGAGAGAGAGAGATGGAGGGCGCTAAGTATATATAAAAAGAGCGAGATAGGTAGTTTTAGAGAGAGAGAGAGAGGAAGAGAGAGAGAGAGTGAAAGGAAAACAGTAGTTGTTACTGTTATTCTTTTTTTTGTTGCGTGTTGCCTTGGTTGCATGAACAAGTCGCAAGCAGCTGCCACACAGAGATACAAACAATCATTGCACCGCAGCTGAAGTGCCGAAAGAAAACAAAGCTTGCAAAAATAAATATAAATAATCAAAAGAGCTAAAGACAACAATGGATCATTAACATTAACAATGCTTTATACACTCATGTACAAGAAAGGCCTAGGACACCTTTCGAATTAGCCTGGGGATTATAAATGCGCCAGCCACGCCTACTGCGCCTTCATGGCAAGCTATTTGAAGTTGACTTAGGAAAAATACGAATTTTTGAAAGGTTTTCAACCTACCAATGGGTTTGCCGATGGGTGGAGCTTTTATGGAGTCATTTTCAATATTCCTTGAGAATTGCATTCAAGTTAATAGTTGATTTTAATAAAAGTTATAGTCCTCAATATAAATACACATTAGTTGGTATCAATTCTTCAAAAACTATATAAAAAGTCCACTCTGATCCTTATTGACTGATCTCTTGATTAGAGCTAGTTACACATATATCACATACCAGCAGCTTCTACATACCTGGACTTCTTCATTTCCACATGTTTTAATACGTAGAGCCTGAAAGGAAAGGAGAAAAAAGCAATTTAGTCAGTATATAAGACATTGGCGGTGGCTAATTTATAATCTGGTAGCAGGTGCCCAGACTCGAGTCCCAACTTGGCCGCTTTGAGCATTCCCTTGCTGGCAGAGTCAGTTATTGTAGACATTAATATCTTAGCATGCAAATACACTTACAGAATGAATCATTTTGTTACCATATAAATGGTGATGGCCAAAACAACCTGTCTCTGGATGCAAGACGGTCGCATTGGCGGAGCTCCATTGAAGCTACTGAGCTCACGTCGTATCCAAGGGTATAAATCCCGAATACTTGTGTATGCGGTCGGACCACCCTCAAGCCTTCCCACAGAGACGATACCCGACAATTTATCTTCGCACCTCAACGGGCCCCCCGAATCACCAAAGCTGGGCCCAGTAGTGGACTCATCGCCGGCGCAAATTACTTTAGGTATACGATAGAGCTTCCTACAGATTTTAGGGCTGACAATCTGTATCCATTGCGCCCTCAGATCATTCGTGCGATCTGGCACAAACTTAAGTGGGGATTTGCACTCGATTAGTGTAGTTATCGATGGTTAAGCCAAAGGAGTGATTTACGTGATTGGCTTGACCCCAGCCGGATACTAGACATCTGGTACCCACGTCGACTTCCCTCGTGTTTAGGGGCAAAATCTCAATAGCCCCACTAATGGGTTGTATATGCTCGACAGTAAAGATCAATGCAATATCGTTCAATGGCTTAGTATATTTTTGGTGAACACGCCAAGATAAGATTTCCAGCTCCTTCGTTGTTGCAGATCTGTCGTCTAGAAAAGTGTTTCCTACTACAACTACTACTTCTTTCTTATGGCGCCTGCAGAAAAAAATATAAGATAACCGCCAAAAGATTCATTCGCGTGTACCTCCCCCTTAGGCAATGAGCTGCAGTGATAATCGCACGATTGCTAACAATAGTTCCACCGCAATAATGGCCGCTGCCCCATCGTTTTCTCTCTCTATAGGCATAGCGCAGTGAGACCTGATAGGGAGTCTCCTTGATGTTGCAAGAAAACCCGTTTATAATTTTGAAAGTAACATTGTCTGAAGCTTTAAAATAAGCAAAAGTTATCAAATTACACAAGATCAATAATACGATATGCATTTCTGAAAGTAAATGCTGATTACATGCTATCTTTTACGGGATCGATCAGAATGGGATGATCAGATACAGTAAATAAAATATATATGAAATCATTTCATATTTGTATAGACATTTAGATATCAGCAACGTATATTGAATACATAACATATAATAAATACGATGTAACTGTTGCTTACCAGCATTCGCCGATGTCAATGGATAAAATAAAACGATATGAATCATCAATATTAGCATTAGAGACATAATATTTGTTTTCTAAAATTCAGACAAGGAAATTTGGAATTTTATAAATCTCGAAATATTAGTTGTTAATTGAACGAAACTCATAAGCCTACTGATTTATAAGTCATTGTAAGTAACTCGGTTTAGTCTGAGTCTAAAATCCCGACTTGCATATGGTGGCCACACAAATGCTGATGGCCAAAACAACGTGCTTCCCAATGCAAAACGAGCCAAGTGGCATTATTCCATTCCTAATCTGTTCTTCTATCCAATCGGCAAATGGCCGGACATCTGTATATAAAGCGAGACCATGTAGGTCTCCGGCAGCGATAACACCCGCAAGTTTATCGTTGCAGCGCAGCGGACCACCTGAATCACCTCGACTAGCCCCAGTCGGAAGCCCTGAGTTGGTGCACAATAGGTCATATCTATTAGCGATCTTAAAACATACTCTTTTGTCTAGAATCCGTTGCCACAATGACTGCAGGCAACTTGCTCTATGGGGTGCATTCTATGATAGAAAAAAAAATCATTTAGTCTAGTTATCGATACACGAGTGCAACAATGCACTGCAATGTCCAAGTTCAAATAAAGTGGATAATAAAATTGATTTGTTTACGTGCTCAACTCGACCCCATCCAGACAATAGACATTTAGTACCAGGGCTTATTTCCACCGTGTTAAGGGGCAGAAATGCGATTGCCCCATTAACGGGTTCTATATTTTCAATTGTGAATATCAATCCAATATCGAATATTGCTTTTCTTTCCTTTCTATATTTTTTATGATAATTCCAATTTGAGATTTTCAGTTTCTTCATCGTCGGCCAATTGAGGGAAAGATACTTGAATCCCACTACAACCAATGCCTTGGCGGGGCTCCGTCTGCAGCAAAAATTAACTGAATGAACAGGCAACATTTTCGCTGAGGCGTACCCACTTAGTTAAACAATGAGCTGCCGTAAGAATTACACGATCTTTAATAATAGTCCCACCACAAAAATGTCCACTGCCCAGTGCACGAATCTCCTTGCGTAACTCACGCAATGAGGCCATATATGGAGCATCCGAAATGTCGGTATCGAAACCTCCCACAATTCTAAATTGATTAGCTTGAGCTTTAAGGAATAAACATTAGTTATATTCAATGATCTAAGATCAATCGAAATACTTGTTTTATTTTATGATTTCGTGTTGTGATTGACAGACTTCGAGTTGATTCCTGCGAAGACAAATTTCATTTCGGACGGGACTCAGGGTATCAATTAGTCAGGCAATCCTAACACATCTACTATTGCAATCGATATGGCTTACCCGTAACTTTCGATGAAAATAGGTATAGTAAAGTAATAAAAGTTATAGAAAAAAACATCATTTTGGTTCTGTTAAATTTCTAAAACATAAATTTTGATAAGTAGAAAAAATTTACAAAGCCCAGACACAAATCTCATGGATAATAAATAGGGTTGGAAATTGAACATATGAAGTCATACACACCATCGATAAATATCGATCACTTCAACAATTTGATTAGTGTCCTCGTGTGTATTACGTAATTCCACATTTCATATGATTGTAAAGATTTTCACCCATATCGTTTTTTCCTTGCGTTTTTCCAACAAATTTTTTGGCTTGCATACAAAATTAAAGGTTTTTTTAATTTCTATTGTATTTTTGTTGCAGTAGTATTTTTCACTATCAATTTATTTCATTTTCTTTTTAGCATTTACCTTTTATTTCTGTTTGGCAGCCACGCCCCCTTGCTGTCTCTTATGGGACTGGTGCAAGAAAATAAATTTAGCAAAAATTTGCGAATAGCTCACGTAATAAATTCCATAAATTGCGTTTTACTTTGACACACATAACAACGCTGTTTTTGTTGTTGTTTCTGTCAGTTTTGTTGTTGTTTTTTCGTGTGGCATTTAGTTCACAGTTAGTGAACGTAGCTCTTGCTGTTTTCACTCGAGTTTCATGTTCACTTTGAGGTGTGTACATGCGTGTGTGTGTCTGTATGTGTGTGTTGTTTTTCGCAGTCTCTGTTTTTATCTGCACATTTGTTGTTATTTTTGTTGCTTTCGCTCGCTTTCGCTGTACGCAACAAACAACCAACCAACAATAACAAGGGCAACGAAAACAATAACAGCTGCCAAATTGCTAGCCAATTGACAACATCTATTCGTGACAGTCACCAAATGTGATCATCATCATCATCATCACAAGCATCATTAGCATCATCATCATTATCATTAGCATCATTAGCATTATTAACAACAGCTACGTGGGCGGTCAGAAGGTCAAATTCGCAATTTTCTGCGTTTCTTGTCTGATTCATTTAGCCGCTTTCGTTGCCATTGCCAAAAATTAAAGCTAACAACAAAAGCAACAAAATAAATAAACAAACAAATGGACAACAATACCAACAAGCGAGAACGAGGGACGAGATCAGAGAATATTGTCTTCTAATTCAGTGAAACAGATATGGTTTGCCACGATTTGCCACGCCTACAAGGGCAAACATGCGAGTTGCAAACAGAAACCAAATCGAGAACCAATATACTCTCGTGAATTTTGGCAAAGAAACCAAACGTTTTCAGTCTGCAGATTGAGCGCGTTTCACGTGGCGTATGCGTAATTTTTTGCTTATTGATTGCAAAAAATGAGGGAACGCGCGTCAACAGCAATTGAAAACCAAAATTGTTGCCATATAAAAACAACAGCAGCAGCAACAACAACAACAACCAGAGAAACAAACAATAACTGAGTAAAATGCAAAGACAGGCAACGTTTCAAGGGGCAACACGTGGAAAACGAGTGGCTGGGTTGAAGAGGGCTGGGCCAGCACCCGCGCGAAAGAGAGATAGAGAGAGAGAGAGAGGGGGGAGAGTGAGCGAGAGAGAGAGAGCAGAAGGCGACCAAGTGACTGAAAAGCGCTAAAAATAACAAAGTGGCAAAAAATGTTGACAGGGCAACAACAACAGCAAAAACGACGACAACAACAACTACAACAACATCATCAACAGCAACTGCAACAGTCGTGTCTGGCAACGTGTGTTGTTTGGCTGTTGTGTACACAACATTTGCAACATTGTTGCAGACACCGCTGCAGCAATGGAAATGGATGAATTGCATTAATAATGCGCCCAGACTGTCGAGGCCGCGCCACAGACACATTAACAACAACAATGACAATTGAAACAGCAACAGCTACAGCAACAAAAGCGACGGCGGTATGCAGAAAGTGAAAGAAGATCGTCAGAGAGAGAGAGAGAGTGAGAGAGAGAGGTAAGAGAGAGAGAGAGAGAGGGACATAGAGAGTGGGGATATTTCAATGAGAGCGTGAGTTAGCAATATATATGCCACAACAGCAACAGTTGCCGTTGCTGCTGTTGCTGTTGCTGTTGCTGCTGTGGCTATGCAAAAATATTTCACATTTCAAGTGCGCGCACAGCTAAATGAGAAATATATGTATGTAGATATATATATATATGTATGTACATAAAGAGCAGACTGAGCTGCGCTCAGAGTCGAAAGATAGGCAGCAGGCAGTGTGGAGCAGGGAACGGGGGCAGGAAATGGGGGCCGTTGGTAGTGGACGCCAAGTCTGTAGGGTTCTGAGTGCTAAAAGAAATTGCTTGCTCGACGCTAGATGGTTAGCTAATGCTTGTTAAATATTCGTATTATTTCACACTTTTCTACTGTGTTGGCTACGTAGTACGTAGAAAAATTCCTTACGTCAATGTCGAATTGATGTCAAGAGCTTTCGCATGCGATGAACTCTCCGACAGGCTCTCATTTCATTCTCTCTCTCTCTCTCTCTCGCTGTTATTCACTCTCTACTCTCTCTCTCTTGCAGACCGTCGTTCTTCTTCCCTCCATCTATTACAGAGAGATGCAGCGAAAGAGAACAGCTTGGTCAGATGGAGAGCAGCACAATAGTCCTTGCCTGACTGCAATTTCTTGGCTAATGGCTCGGCGATTATTCAGCTACTTTCCGTTTGCAATTTGCGGCTGCTGACGACTCGTTCGAGGGGCTGGAGGAACTGCCAACTGTTGCAAATAGACCTGCAACATGTATTTGCACAGCGAGTTGAGCGTGCGAATGCGAGTGCGAGTGCGAGTGAGAGGGTCGTTAAGAGCATCATTAAGTCTTCGGGCTCGTCCCGCATCTCCCGTCGCTCGTGGTGGCAGCAAGCGGGGAGCCGCAGACTTAAAATAAATAAAAACTTCAACTTCAAGTTAAGCGCTTAAGTTGTTTGTTCCTCCGCCTCTTGAGCATTTCTCAACTGCAACATTGTTGCATGGGGCAGACATAATGAGAGGCCTGCCGAAAGAAGGGATTCCGCCGGTGCGCCGGTGCACCGGTGGAGTGCATGCCGAACGGCTGTTAATAGATCAGCCAAACAGTGTGAACTAACTGACGCAAGCATCGGACGAGCTGTCCGACCGACAGCCAGACAGCTAGACAGATAGACAGCTAGGTAAATAGAGAGAGGGACCCAAGAGGTTCAGAGGGGACAAAACTCTCTGGAGCAGTTCTCCTCTGTTAATTTGATTTGTATTGGGCTTCGGCTTCGGCTTCGGCTTCACTGGATTCGGCTTCCTTTTGAAAGGGTTTACTTACCTTTTCTTTATTTCCTCCTCCAGTTTTTCTTTTCTTTTTTCTTTGAAATTTCTCTCGAGCGAATGTTGTTTATGATAATTGCCAAAGGGGCGAGTACTTAAGGCTTTGAGATATTGCTAATTGAGAGTCTGCAGAAGTCTTTCATAAATAACTCTTGGCTAGCCCAACAGACGGAACAACTCCTCAATTATGTAAGCGAACTTTACAAAATATGTAAGCCATAAGCTGGTCTAGAAATTATATATGGCAAAAGCATTTCAACTGTGAACTCGCTTCGAGTTGACTCTGGGAATTTAGGGTATACGCTGATTATACACCAATGCAACAAGAGGCGTCGAGGAGCTGTCGCCTGGCCAGTTCCGTCTCTGAGAACGCAGGTAGTATTCCTCTCGTAGAGACAGAGGTCTTCCCAACCCTGAGAGTAGCTAATTGACCGACCCGGCGAGGTATATTCAAGTCAGGGTATTTTCAAGTCAAGCACTCCTGTCTGGCTCACTCTTACTCCTTTTTACTATATA